ACCAGCCACGCATAGAGCCTCTGTAAAGTATGACCCAACGGGAGGTCTGGGGATATTTAAGACTCTGGATTTAGTCTCAAGTAGCTCACAGTCTAGTTCCCCCAAGCTAAGGGGGAAGTGGCAGGAGGCCAAGTGGACGATGAGCCACCGACTGCCTCCCCTGTTCCCCCCCCCCCCCCATACACACATATAGCATGTCATGGGATTCGGTGGAAGAAGAGGCCTCTCTGGGCTGGGTCAGTCAGGGGAACCTTGTGTGGAGAGGGGGGTTCTGGTGGGAAAACATTTCGCCTTCCATAGATGTGCAGACTGGGTGTCTGAAGCCTCCCTAGCTTCTCGGTAGAGCTGGGTGATGGAGGCTATGCCTGGCCTTGGTGACCCTGGTGACCCAGGGCTAGGGAGCCCAGTGGAAGTGTTTTGAGCCTCCAGCTGCTGTGAGGTGACATGGTGGAGCCTGAATAGCCCCAGAAGCATCACAGGCTGTGAGCAGTAGAGGAACTTGAAGGGTGATAAGTTGCAGTGTGCTTGTTTTACAGACCAGAGAGAGGAAGCCACCTGCCTAGAGTCATATGGCAGGAGTACAGAGCCTGAACTCACGCTGTAGTCTCCTGCCTCCTAGTCCAGTGCCGTTTCCAAAGGAATGAAGGACAGAAACCAGGTTCCCTGTGATGTTAAGGTTTACCAGGCCGTAGAAAGGGGATGGGGCTTGGGGGGCCAGGAAGTGGGACTAGGGTAGTGGCAGTGATCCAGGCATTTCAAGGAGGGCGTGGGCAGAATGATAGCTCGTGATGATTCATGGCTGAATGGGACTTCACAGACCTCATCTGGTCTTGTCTCAATTTATAGGTAAAGCTGCGGGGCCCGGAGAGGAAAGTGAGATGTTTGATATCATTAAGATAGATGTGGATAGTCATAAACCCAGATCTCCTCACTCCTGGAGCTGTCCTGCAACCCCACACCATTGGTGCTCAAGACCCCCAGTCACCCTGGTCCCCTGTGGCCAGAAACAGCCAGAGCCAAGGGGCAGGGACTAGAGATTTGGTATCTGTGTGCCAGCCGCTGGCCTTGGCACTTTCCATGTTTTTCATTCAGTCTTTGCCAACCGCTCACGAGTTAGGTACTATTATTATCCCCATTTTACAGATGAAGGAACTGGGGCACGGAAGGTTAGATAATTGGCTTATCGTCCTGTAATTGTAATTGACAGATAGGGAATTGAAACCTAGGTCGTCACATTACCTACCACCCTGGCCTCCCCACCAGGGGCGGAGACAGGGGTGCCCTCCAGCACACCATCCCCGATCAGGGATTGTCAGCAGATCCCTGCAGCCCTCCCATGTGTCTTGGGACTCCGTGAAGGGTGAGAGTGAGGGGGACAGCTTGTGTGTGGAGGCCCCCGCCTCGGGTCTGAGGACACCTTGCGAAATAACAATAGTAAGACTCATACCGTACTTACTGTACCCCAGGCACCGCTCTGGGTGCTTTGTCAACTCATATAATCCTCACACACAGCCTGAGGCCCGTCCTGTCACTGGCCCCCACTGGACAGATGGGGACTGACATGGAGATGGTACGCACTTGCCTGAGGTCTAGAGCTACTAAGTGGCATCCCTGGGTCCAGACCTGGCTTTCTGGCGCAGTCTTTGCTCTTAACCACTGTGCTGTGCTGCTTCTCGCTAAAGATGCCTCCAGTCCCCAGATGCTAGAGGCAGGACGGAGGCAGGACAGTAGGTGGTGGGAAGCTGAGGGAGCAGAGGCTCAAGTTTCTCAGTGGGGCCAGGAGAGGGAAGGTGGCTGGCCCTCGGTCACACCGTGGGCCTATGTCACGGCCAGCCTCTGCTTCCCTGTCCCCAACAGCAACGGAAAGAGAAGCTTAACAAAAGGCCCCTGTTTAGAGTCACAGGGTAGAGAAGAGGGAGGCCAGTGTGGCAGAAGCCTAACTTGGCCCCTCCCAGGGCCTAGACAGAGGCCGGCACGAGGGGCTGGGGTTGGAAAGAACTTCGGGCACCTGTTCACTCCAGGAGTGGCTGCTGTGTAAACCCTAGGCGTCTGTAGAGGGGCTGTCCACCTCTGGGCCACAGTGGAGTCAAGGGTAGGAGTCAGGTGCCCCCGCCCCAGGGAGGAGCATGCGTCTGCCCTCCATTCTCCTCAGGAGACTGTCCTCCCAGCACCCACGTCCTGGGCCCTCTCCGCCAGGCCCATCAGCACACAGTGGCCCAATTGCCAAATATGGCTGTCTGAGCCTTGGATCTCTGCCATCAATGGTTCATGCTTCAAGCGACACCGTCTAAACGACACCTATGAAATATGAACAGATTGAGGTTTTGACACGCAGATAGCCCAGGCACGATACCAGGGTGATGAGGAGGGGCGGGGGATAATGAGGTCTTAAGGGACCACAGGGACAGCAGCCACACCGGGAGTGGGGGGGCGGTGGGGGGGACTCTTCTCCGCACATGGGGTCACTGGTGGCCGGTGCTGGATACAGGGCTGAGATGGGGGAGGTGCTCGACAGATTTTCCTAGGGCTTCCTGGGGTTTTGGGGAGAGGCCAAGGGAAAAGGTGGCGTGGGGCTTGCCCAGAGCCCCCGAAGGCCTCACCCTTCCGGCGAGGGGGAGGGTGCAGGAGGTAGGCCTGTGCTCAGGTCTCCAGAGGGAGAAGGGCCGGAGAGAGGCCAGGGTTAGCAGGACACTTCCCTCCGCCCTTGAGCTGCCCTGAGCCCCCTGCGCAGCACCCCCTGCAGGGGGCTCAGTGTGTTGGAAGCAGCTTCTCTGGCCTCTGCCTTCAGCTGTCACCCTCCTTGGGGTCAACCCCAGCACCCTGTGCTGTCCCTCTGGGCTGGCTTCCCCAGCCCCTGAGCTATCTGGGCAGAGGGAGACATCCAGCTGGGTGAGAGGTGAAGGTCCGTGGCCTTGGGCACCTCTCCCCTTCCTCTCAGGAGGCTCATCCTCGAGTCCTTCCTTCCTGGTCAAGAGACCACACGCTATCCATGAGGTCACAAACACTCGGGCCTCAGTTCCTCTGGGTCTAAAATGAAGGGGTTGGACATGATTTTCTCTGAGGTCTCTTCTAGCCCTGATGCTTGGAGTTTTGTTGTTCCCTGTCTGCCCTCGCTGCCCCCAGGCAGAGCCCCCTGGGATCAAGGTGTTGCTCTGTGCAGTCAGAAAGCAGCTGGAGGGGTCTTGAGCTAATCTGACGAGCTGACGGGAGGGTCTGCGGGAAGGCTGAGGGGGCCAGCAGTGGACCATGCTGGAGCCTCAGCCTCTGGGGGTGCAGATGGGGGAAAGGAGCAGCTGAGGCCAGGGCTTGGAGCTGGCTGGGCTGGGTGCTGGCCAGCTTGGGGCTGGGTGCTGAGGGGGAGCCTGGGGATGGACATCTGGAGTCCAGTGTGTTCTGGGCACATTGACCCATTTGAGTTTGGAAAGGCCGGTGGAGGAGAGACAGCTAGGGCGGCAGGAGTGGCCAATGAAGTCTTTCTAGCTGCTGGGTGAGCAGCTCACTGTGACTCTTAAGTGGAGCTGGTCACTGGGGCCAGGGGCCAGCCCAGTTCCCCAGTGACAACTGGGTGAACTGGTCGGCCCTGGCCATCCTCTGGAGCTCCAAGCGAGGGCATGTGGAGATCTTTACAGACCAGAACCCTCCCTGAAGGCCACCTGTGCAAATGAGAAGGACTTGGGTGCCAGGGCCCTCCCCAGACATACCATAGCCGGGCTTGTAGAGGACAGGCTGACTGCAGACCACTGACCTGTGTGCGGGGCATCTGAAATGACACCTCTGGGGGCTTGGGCAAAGCCAAGGCAACAGCTTCAGGGTCAGCATCTGTGTTGGGGAGGGGCCAGAGGGACCTCACACCAGCCCTAAAATGGACTTTGTTGTCTAATCTGGCAGCGGCCTCTCGGTGGACCTCCAGGCCAGGCAGTGGACGTGGCAATAGAGGGGGTGTTTGGAGATCAGTGGTTGCTCCTCAGAGCTCCCCGTTGGGGCCCACCTGCTCCCCCAGCCCAGGCCAGTTCCAGGCAGAGAGAAGGTCTCTCTCATTGCTTGTCAGAAAGAAGCAGTTCATCTAGATCCCGTCTAAGAAATTGACAGGGTCGATGGTAGCTGCTGATTTCCTGAGCTTACAAAATTGGCCTGGGTGGCAAATGGGGGTTTTCTGTAATCCTTCACTGATGGATTAGATGGTGGGGCAGATCTCGCAGGAGCAAAGGACGACCTTGAGAAAATGTGGATGTCAAAGGAAGAGAGAAATAATCCCCCTTCCTCAAACCGCTGCCAATAAGCCTTCTCGGCACTGGAGGAAGTTGATGGAAAGTTTGCTGCTGCTGCTGCTGCTGCTGCTGCCTCCCGGCTCAGGAGGCTGTAGCATTTGACTGCATGATAAGAAATTGCCAGACACTTTCTAATTACAATTATCATCATCGTAGATGTCTCTCTTAATTACTTTCTTATAATTAGCTGTTGCTTTTTCCTTAGCATTTGTGTACTTTGCAGATTTGCTGACATTTGAGAGCCCCAAAATAGGGACATTTGGGGAGGAGAGCAGAAGGTGGGGGGAACCTGCTACCTTTCAGGCAACCTGATACAATTCGGGGCCCTTGTGGAAAGAAACTGGGGAGAGCCGAAGATGGACGTGACCGGTCACTTCCTGAGCTTACGGGAAAGAGAGTAGGAGTGTGGGTTTAGGGCCGGGGTTTGTGGAGGGTCTCCAAGTGTTAAATCTTGGACATAATGTTCTTGAAAAGCTAGGGCTTCCATTTCTCAGGCTTGGGTTTCCTTTTAGGAAATGAGGCTGGGATGAAGCACACTCCTGTTGGATCCATTTCAGAGTTAATTAAATGACTGGGGTCAGGAGTAGCTTGATTTCCCCCAAAGCCAGTGATGCATTCTGAGCATCCTTGGGCCCCAGGGGATCATTATAAAGTGGTTTATGCTCTTTGACCAGATGGTTGGTTTTCACTGTCTGTTTCTGTTCTTCCTCCCTCTCTCCCGGCCCCCTGCAGCCCTGTGTACGGAAGAGTGTGTGCACGGCCGCTGTGTTTCCCCGGACACCTGCCACTGCGAGCCCGGCTGGGGAGGGCCCGACTGTTCCAGCGGTGAGTCTGGGGCCTTTTGGGGCCAGGAGGGGTCCCTTGGCTCTGGTTTGGGAGGGGCCATGCCATGTGCATGCTGAATTCTTTGCGTTGGCCCGGGGCAGCCCAGGCGAGTGTGAGCATCAGGGAGGAGGGAAACCTGCAGTTTACATGATGACACTTGGGGCAGAAGTCTCCAGGGGCGTGGGGGTAATTGTTTGTGGGGTCTGGAGGGGCGTTGTGCATCACATTTGTATGGAACTGTGGAGTATTTGTACAGCTCTGACTTGTTGAAACACTTCTAGATATGGTCTTTCAAGGGTTGGTGTGAAATTGAGATGCCACCCAAGGGTGCAGACCCAGGGTGTCAAGGATTGTGGTGAAGGCCTGGTCCTCAGCTTCATTGGTTTAAAGCACCAAGTTCTGTGGGTGCTTACAGAAGCTTGAGGGACCAATTCATGAGACTGGTGGGCACTGGGATATCTCTGTGTCCCCAAAAGTAGGAGGATGAGACTCTTAGGGCGTGGGTCACTGGATTCCTGCGTTTCTCTGGGTAGAAAGTTCATATTCTCTGGAGAAGGCTTCCTAGAAAGGATGGGGTGAGACAGACACTCTTGGGACAGACCTACAGGGCATCGTCTCTGCTGTGGGACTGGCCACCGAGGGGGTGGGGCACACCCAGCAGCTGCTCTGGGAGTCCTCTGCCAAGACCCCAGCTGAAGACCACTCCTGCTCTTCTGGCTCATTTCCCCTAAATTCTCACAGATGACCCTCTTTGCATTGGCACAGGTTGCAGTCAATGGTCGGTTCACATCATGGTCTTCTATGATTTTCAAACAGGCCTCGATGAGTGTTGAAGCCCAGTTTTCTTCCTGCTTTGAGCTGCGGTAGAGTGTCCTCTTTATTGCGACTTGAGACAATAGCATATCTAAGCAGATCCATTGGGGATCTAACCCCCAGTATTTGCCTGTCTTTGGGACCCACCTCCCCATTCCCCGTCCCATTACAGACAGCTGCAATGGTCATGAAAACTTGAAGAGGGGAAAGGTGGGCCCATGTTGGCCCAATGTGGTGCTCTTTCCCTTTCCACTGGCTCTGCTGGAGTGGAAATATCGAGTTCTAGTTTTTTTTCCAAAGGCTTTGACTGGAGCCTCTCTGTCTACCCAGTGCATGAGGATATACTCCACAGCAAGGCTATTAGATGTGGTTTTGTTTTGAGCCTGGGTGGTTATCTTGGCTTGGAGGGGCCAGAATCTGGGGTACTCAGGAGACTCTCTGCAATGCACTGGGCCTCCAGTGACCACAGTGGTCTCCTCCTGCCACCTGTTTCCCTGCTTTGAGGTGGGCCAGGGATTCCTCCAAACAACAGAAAGTAAACCTGAGAGTCTCCTGAGGTAAAGAAATGTGTCCAATTAGTCTTTCTGTGAACAAATAGGAAACATGTTGGCTAAAATGTTCAAGAGCTTCTTCCCCGCTTGTGCTCTCCATGTTTTGTTTTATGTAACTTTGTTTACCATGAATCTTTGATGAAGAGCTAAGGTGGATTAGGTGAACCCTGCTGGGACAGGTCTGCTTGCTGCTGCTGGATTACAATGTCAAGGGCAGCCTGTTGGCGGTTGAAATACAGCCTGAGTCTCAGGAGCCCTGAGTGCATATAAACCACCATCAGCAATCAGCCTAAGTGTGTTTGGTGTTTACTATATGCTGGGCTGTGCTGGGCACGGGGTGGGCCCTGACAGGTCTTTCAGACATGGTCTGCCTCTCTCAGGGTTTCTGTCTGGTGAAAGAAATGGAAAGAAGGCGGCAGTCGATTTAACAGGACTGGGCAGGTTGGAGGTAACATACAGCGTACCAACATACAGTATGGTGTAACATACAGGGAAATGGCCTTGGTAGTTGCCAGTACAAAATTGGACTGCCCAATTTCCCCACCCCCGATTCAGTCATCAGACTTGGTGCCGAGCAACCCATAAGCTGTTTCCTCAATTAAACCCATGTTCGTGGGCTGAAGAGCCACCACCCCCTAAGTCTACTCGAAGGCATGTAGTACTGAGCCCAGAGGAGGCCCCAAAAGATGGGTTCCAACCCTCTGCTGGAACCAGCATTGAAGGACAGGAATTCACACACTCTGACTTTCAAAGTCACTCAGGGCATTGAATACTTGGATGTCACTAAGTGCCTTCTGACTCCTTCCTGAGTCCCTCCATTAACAAAGAGCTCCCTGCCTCCAGTGAAAGCACATGCTGACTATTGGAAAGTTTCCCCTTCTACTGAGTGGAAACCTGTCTCAAGCTTTCACCAGTCAGTTCTCACTCATGGTAAAGCCCAGGGCAGGGTGATGGATTGCCATGACTCTCCCAGCCGTGTCTGGAATTTCTCCCAAGGTGATCAGTGAACAAGGCCACAGACTGTGTATGGGAAGATGTTCTTCAAAAAAGTAGTTGATAATAGGGGGCACCTGGGTGGCTCAGTCGGTTCAGCGTCCGACTTCGGCTCAGGTCATCATCTCATCATGAGTTTGAGCCCCGCCTTGGGCTCTGTGCTGGCAGCTCAGAGCCTGGAGCCTGTTTCAGATTCTGTATCTCTGTCTCTCTCTCTCTCTGCCCCTTCCTTGCTCACACTCTTTCTCTCTTTCAAAAATAAATAAACATTAAAAAAATAAGTAGTTGATAACAGCCACTGGGGCTACATAGAAGAAACCAGAGTTCCCTTCCATGGGTCAGCCCTTTGGGTGTCAGAGATAGCAATCACTTCTTTCCCCAGGTTTTTATTCTCCAAACTCTTTTGTTTCTCCTGACATGGTCTGATCTGCCTTCCCCATCCATTGGCTGTGGCCTTTCTTCCTCTTAAACTAGCATTCCTGGGTCTGACCACACAACATAGGCTTGCCTGGAAAAAAGAATAATAGAAATAAGTTATTTGTTGAATTTTACTATGCACTAGGTACTCTTCTCACTTAATTTTCACAACCCTATGGAAGAGGAATGATTATGAGCCCTATTTATGGATGAGAAAGTCGAAGCACAGAAAGGCTAAAGAACCTTCCACAGGCTCGCACCTGGTACATGGTGAAACCGGGGCTGTGAAGCAAACAAAAACCTGAGTCCCAAACTTGAACTCTTAATTTTTATGTTCTTCCTCTGGATCCTGAACCTCTGTTAATACAGCTTAGGGTTGAGATCGGTCTTTGATGAGAAAACAGTGCTGCTCACAGAGGAAAGAAGGATCTGCTTGAAAGATGTGTCCCTGAGATAGTGTTGTGCAGACAGATGAATCCGCTGCGGGTCACGAACTGTGACTAGGTGTACTGCAAGCAATTTGCACGTGCTTGCTAGTGTGCCGCTGGATGCCTATCTGCCTGTCTGCCTCAGCGTGCCTTGGGGTCTCTGTGGGGCCCGGGCCCCTGCGGATGGGTGTCCCGGTGAGTGCAGTGTGTACCTCTGGAGATTTCTGCATGGGAGCTGCCCGTGTGCATGTCTGTATGTGTGGTACCCTTGCAGGGAAGCTTTGGTTTCTGTTTAATGGAAAGCATCATTCTTGTTTTTCTGATTATAAAATTATACCTGTTCACGTTAAAAAGAAAATCCAGG